CCCCAAAACCCCAAAACCCCAAAACCCCAAAACCCCAAAACCCCTTTTTGTATATGAATGATTGATTAGTAAAATTTTATAAATAAAGCGAAATGAATAATAGGCTCAAGACAGTGATTGAAGTAAGATTCTTCAGTTTATTCTAGAAAACACTTCCAAGTGAGCATATAAAGTATTGTTGTGCATACGGCTCTGGAGTGTTTACTCAGAAAGACAACAGTAAGTTTTAGGCTAATAATTTCATAGTCTCCAATGATAAAAAGCCTATTGAGAAGAAAGTTATAGATCTGTTAATAGCTGTTGACGATACACAGGAGTTTCATCTCAAAAATATGGCTTTGAACAAGAAACATTATAGCTGTATCTCAAGAGTGATGCCAATTCATGTCACTGATTTAATCAATAGAGGGACAACCAAAGTTTATTTCAATCCTCTTGTGCCTTTTAGCGGATGAGATTTGGGCTATCAGTACAAATATGGAATTATTCATTATAAAGATTTTATGAGAGATTTAAAATACTGGGAAACTTTCTATATGGCTCCAAGGCTACAGAAGCCTGTATTGGAAGTCATTCGTGATGTAAGTAAACCAAGTAATCAATTAGGACACTGATCAAGAAGAGATCAAGCAAGTCCTAGAAATAAACAAAAGAAATGCACTTGCTTTAGCTATCCTTCTCATGCCAGCACCAGATTTTACTCTCATGGATATGTTTCTTGGGGTCACAAAGTTGAGCTATATGGGAGATATTAGAATGAAATTTAAAGCAGAGAACCCGAACAAAATTTTGAATATTGTAGAGCCGAACTTTGAGCATTTTCTCACTTATTATGAAAAGCACATTCGAGATTTTGAGAAATTAGAACTTCTGAGATATCAGGGTGAATCTGTATTCACAACAAATGCCAAATCACCTCATTGAATAGCTCAGCTTCTCGAATAGTAAGGTCACATAGTTTTAATAATATAGCATTCCCAAAGAATCTTATATCAAATTATGGATCAAAGATGGTTCATCTGGGCTACACCACGATGATATGAGACATCATTTAAAGACAAATCTTGAAATAGTCAATGAGAAACAATCAAAGAAGGCAGTTAGGAAAGCTCTTTATACCACAAACCCTCTTAAAAGCTTGTTTTATGCTTTAGAAAAGAGAAGGAAGGGGAAAACATCATAAAATCTATCAGAGATATTCAATATCCTTAATCATAAATGGGGTTTTGGGGTTTTGGGGTTTTGGGGTTTTGGGG